AGTCCACTTCACGGTGTTAAAGTGCTCCACTGACAACAGGGCGTGTCCGTACGAGTTATCCCTGCAGCCCGTTCATAACAGGNATTCGTTCACAGATGAAGAGATACACTCAAATTCAATACAACTGTGTATGCTCAAGTTTATTGCCTTGTATCTGGTTTATTTTCATCGACGTTTCCAAATCGAAAAGGAAATGCGGTAGCGACAAATTACCAGATTCTCAAACTCTCCTGACTTTACCCAGTCCCGTTCTGCGTTAAGGCCCACACTCTGGTTACATTGAATGCATTAAAGACACTATATTATTCGAACAATGAGTATACAGAAAAGAAAAACTGTTGACGGTCTTAATGTACAACACCGTGGGGACTCGTCCACCATGGGCGTGTACGTCGACTGTAAGCCTGTTTTGAGCTCCTTATTACGCCCTACCTGGACCGTTTGTCCACCCAACAGTGCCCGTATGGTATATCTAGAGGTGACAGGATCATCCCAGAGACAAACCTTAAAAGGGTTTTCATTGTTAACTGCCTTTTGAGCTAGCTTACCCCTCAAAATGGCACAAACGGCATCACTTTCTGTAGGTTCCACACTGTTTGCTCGGCTAACTCAACAATTACGCCTAAACTTAAGGAGTTTTTGCAGAAAAAGCGATATCCTGATGATAGTGCTGGCATACCATCTTTCGTAAGGGTCATTCTGAATGATGCAGTTTGACAGTTTAATCCTGAAGGTGGATAAGGCAAAGTGTATCGTTGATTAGGGTAACAATCCAGATCTTTTTTGTTGAGGGCCCAATGTATCTCATCGTTCTTTGCCTCGTATTAAGAAGGGCGAAGACCTGAAGATTGGAAAAGTAAACACGTCTTGTGATGATTCCACAGTTTAGCGAAGGGTAGCGAGTCCTATAGAGATATCTAGGCCGTTTTTATACTCGCCAAGACCCATGTGGCAAGTGGTCATGAATTCGTACCATTTATCTATTTCGGAAATCATTTTTATAACGGACTGAACGTAATTGGTTGTACGTCATTAATAAAAGAAAAATCTCCCGAATGCAGCAGCATCGAACTACCTTAGATAGGTGATAGCAACCGTAGAAATGAATCGCAAGTGCTCGCGCAGAAGTAGGGAACGCAAGCTACTTCGTATGAGTTGAGCACTAGATAGCGCAAAGAAGGAGGAATAGCCGGCCTTGCAAACGGTAGAGGTGCTTAAGAACGTTTCTTAACCGAGGATAGGGATTTACCTTAGCCTTTGGAGGGAAACGGCACTCGGGTGGGAAAACCACTTGAAAACCCTCAGTTCTCAACCCATTGCACCTTTTTGCACAAGGTCTCTTACCCACTCCGCTGTTCTTTCACTCCCGATGCTTAGGTAAAAAGTAGAACCTTAGGCCAAGAACCGTCTCCAACTATAAGTAAGGTCGACTACCCCTCCTGCTCTGCACTTTGGCGTTCATGCTGTGAAACACCCACCCTCCCCGTTCTCCGCCTCCTCAAATGGTGGCATTTTCACCCAAGTCTTACTTCAAATGTCATTCTTGTCGCGAGACTTGTCACTTATAAGCAGTTCCGGTATTAACCACAACAAATGCCGACTCGAAAGTCCACTTCACGGTGTTAAAGTGCTCCACTGACAACATGGCGCGTCCGTACGAGTTATCCCTGCAGCCCGTTCATAACAGGACCGCATCGTCGCATTTGGCTTCCACTGAGTATCCAATGTTAAAGCATGTAGTTTCACATGAGCCATTTTCATTGAGTCTTTTCAATTTCAGATTTGTATCCTCAAAAGCTACTTTCATATACCTGCTTCTATTCCGTTGAATTTCTGGCAATCATCTTAATGATTCAGTGAGAGTTCCAAATTTTGTCGTATTTTCGTAGTAGCTGTTTTTCCCATTTTAAGAGCGAAAAATTCGTGGGACCTTCATTTTCCTTGCCGAGTTTGCCTGTTTTGCAATGCTGCTATTTTATTGCATTTCGTTTTGTGTTGAATGAGCTTGCATTTGATTTCGTTTCTTTCCAACTTCCCAATTCGTTGTTTGAATAGGTGAGGGGTGTCGGTGATTACACTCGAGATAAAGGCTAACGGATTCGTGGTTCCTCCACCACATTCCCCAAGCTGTTCGTATCTCCTAATTTATATGATCAACATCGTGGCGGTTTGACCGAATACGAATTTAAGAAAGTAGCAGTATCATTATTCAACTATCTACATTTATTATTTGCGTTGTTCTCATGAAGTCATATTGATAGATGTTCAAGTTCAATCGCAATCTTACAGTTTCAGTAGTTCGACTTGGCAAATATGCAGATTTTCATCAATGCCTTGGATGGCGGAATCCATCGCCTCGAAGTTGCGCCAGAAACGACTGTTGCACAAATCAAGGTATGAATACTTGGCACGTTTTTCTGATTTTTGCATTGAAAATTCAAGGCTTTCACGTATTGTTTCACCTTCCTAGTAGAGGGAGGTCGTCGTATATCAAGAGATAGCTAGTGACGAGTGCTGAACGTGATTGTGTTTTTTCTATTCTTTATCGTGTTCGTTTTCATTTGTTTTTCTGCGCCAGTCTTCACCTCTTGCTGATTTTGCATTTCCTTGTACTCGTTGAGTACTCGTTGAAAACGATTTCAGAAGTTTTGAATAAGATGCTTTGAATATCATCCCTGCTTTTTCGCTGCTTGTTGCGAACTGCTATACATTATATTCATGATAAGAAGGTAGAAGTCGATAAAAAGAAACCGAGCGCTTTCTAGTCGAAACAGAATATATCTCTCCAACTCTATTTCGTACCAACATCCTTGCTCGCGATCGGTTACGCTCCGACGCTTGAGCTTCCTTCTCCCATAAGGCTTAGTCAGCGATGTCCATCCTTGGCTGTTTTCGAGGTGGAAAGCTCAGTGGGGTGGCTATCTTGCTCCCTTTCACCCTCCCTAACGTTCGTGGTAGCAATGATTACCATTTTTTGTATTGCTTTCCTAGCCTTTCATACTTTTTGAAGGTTTTCGTTGTGATCGTTAAAATGCCCTGAATGACACTCGAGATTCGTACCTGTGTTCACACTTAGTAGTAAGAGATATCCAGTTCGCCAATTTCTTATAAAGCAAACTAGATAAGCTGTTTTTAAAAAAGAAACTTCTAAAAACCATGATTACCTGAGTTAAGAACCGCGTTTTAGTTCCATTTCACCTTTTCCTAAACGTTTTCCTATTTGCCAAAACCTTCTCTTGCTAATGAATGTCAGCGAGTAATATAAGTTAGCTGAAAAATGCATTTACAGAAGAATCTAGGAGCTGACGAGCACATTCTTTCTTATGGAAGCTCAGTCCTGGAAGATTCCTTGAGCCTTTCAAGCCTCGATATTACTGATGGAGCGTCGCTCGCGATAAATGCTAGACTTCTTGGAGGTGTGTTTTAATGTTCAGTCGTTTTTTTTNTTTTTTTTCTTGATCATTAGAATTCAAAGGCAGTAATGGTGATGACAGTCTTGGTATAATTGTGAGTTGCATATTAATGGATGTTATTGGTAACAATGGACCCTTGAGCGAACTTCGATCTTACAACTCTTCTGAGTCGTTTTTCGATGCGGCAGCCTTAGTTTCCTACTCTTTCACTGCAGAAGCATCCTTCCAATTGGTCTGCCAGTCACCCCTATTTGTCTTGTTTTCTTAGTACCAGCGTTGATTCCTGGTGTGCTGCATCGCTGCTTAACAGACCCTTATTTTGATGTGATTTACGCCAAGTATTCATTTCACATTGGCAATGTAATAGCTCCTATTTGCTTTTTTATCTATTTTTAGCGCTATTTTGGGTTTCTTTCTTGTTCAAAGAGAACATGTTTTGATTTTGTCACAAAAGATCTCAAATAGGTTTATCCATCTTTGGAATTCATCCATTGAATTTTGGAGCTGAATGGTGGTCTGCATGAAATATTTCCTTTTAGCGATCAATCTTCCTGATACGGAATTCGTTAACGAATAACTTATGACACTATTTTCCCATAGATAATAAGCTGCAGTTGGGGAGATGGGGTTGTGAAGGAAATTTCAAGAGATAGGGAGAGTTTGCTCGGCTGCAGATGAATATTTCGTAATAATTGTTTGCACAGCGTCCCGGTTGAAGAATGAAACAGGCTTTTGAGAAAAACCGCAATGTATTCACGTCATCGCCCCACTTTGTGTTTTTAACCCCCAAATCATTCAGGCCTATATAGATGGTGAAATGCCCACCGAGTTCTCAAAGTAGTAATAATATAAGGATGAAGTAATAATGAACGTGATTACAGGATATCATTTCAGTATGGGACCGTAAAATAGAGTTTTTTAAGGTAAGGTCCACGGATCTTTGGCACGTGCCGGAAAAGTCCGTGCCCAAACCCCTAAGGTCGAGAAGCAGGAGAAAAAGAAGAAGAAGAAGGGTGAATGTTACAGTTGTTTAATTGCTTGTGCATAATGAATTTCGTATCTATGTAGGACGTGCGGCGAGACGAATCCAATACACGAGAAGGTTCGTCAATGTTGCTACTGGACCAGGAAAGAAGCGTGGACCTAACTCCAACTCTGCTTAATCTTTTGCTTGTTGATTAAGATAAATTGTTATTGATCGTAGTTTTTGACATCCCGAATAAATCGTACAACACGATTATATTTCTTTCAACTTCTGAATTTCACTGCATAAATTTGATTACCCTCATAAGCTCTTTTTGAAGGTGCATTAAGATAAATTGTTATTGGTCGTTCTCCATATTTTTATAAGGAAATCTTATGTCAGAGGAGCTACTCTTGAAATTCCTCAAGGACATCGAGGAGGGTCAGTTGCTCATAAATTTCTTTTTAATATATTGAAGTAAAATTTGCTCATTTGACAGAAGGGGTGATTCGTGTGGTAGATTTGGTAACCCTTTGCATTTGATGCATTTGAATTACATCTCCAATGAATGTCCGTGGAGTTACTAGACATATCGTCGATGTCCTTGTTCGCTGAGCAGGTCGCATTGCGTCGCGATTTCGCCAAGTAACACGGCCGTGATTCTATCTGCATGAGGAATGTGCAGATGTTAGATAGTTGATATAGTTCCTTCAATTTTGGAGTGAAATTGATGAAAGACAGTTGTTGGGAGTTAAAAATAGCTCCGAGCAGCTAGGTCATTGGAAAGAGCTTGATTTTTGTTTTGAAACAAGTTAACCTCNCCCCCCCCCCCCCCCCCCCCCCCTCTCCCCGCCTTTCTGATGACCAGGATTTTTGAGTGTTGTTGCAAGTCCCAACTTGTGACCCTTCCTGAAATCGTGGTTTTCAATTTGTCTCACCAGTTAGAGGTTATATTGGTCAAAAATCCGACTTCCAGAAGATGGACTTCTCGAAAAGACCAAACGTAAACGGACAAAACAGGAGTTGCGTGAGGAGCATACAAAGCGGATTCTGGCGGCTGCTTCGAAGGGGCAGGTTCCGTTACACAAACCATGATGATAGTTTGGAATGAGTATTTTTCCAACTTTGACTTCAGGTAGAATTACCGCCCGAAGAGAGATTTATCGTGGAAAAACCAAGGCCAAAGGAAGCCATTGAGTTTGATCTCAAATTAGCAAAGCAGGTCAGTTCCATCAGAATAGAGAAAGTGGCTCAGTCTATTTACGGTCACCTGACCATACCGTTTCTTTTTGTGCTCCGTGTTTGTTTCTGAAAACACTTTCCGTTTTATTAATACCTTGTTTCTCTTGTACTACCATAATTTCCACTTATTGAATGTTCGTTCGTAGTAAAACATCCAGACCAAGCTGTTTAGGGATTCTCCCTCATCGAACAAGCACGCGCTCAACAGCCAAAAGATTTGATACAACGGAACTTGAAATACATTAAATATACCGACAAAAAGAGAGCGCTTGATAAGGAGAAAGCCAAGAAAATAGTTCTGGAGCATTTAAGGAAGAAAACTTCGAAGGAGCTGATACGGAAGGAGCGAAGCAAGATCACTGGTAAGTAATTAATGATCCAGCACTTTATGATTTCCTTTCTTCTTGGTTCTCAATTCCTATAACCAATTACGATTGTGCGGGGTTTGTGGGACACGCAATCTTAATGGTTGATAATGAAAAGTAGAAACAAAGGCAAATAGGCTTAAGCCCTGGAAGACTGCAACTGTTTGAGAAGGTAGCGAAGATTTGGACGTTGGATGAGTTTTTGCATCTTGTACCACCACTTTTCTCCTATCAGGGGTATGGGTACATTCACCCAGAATTGGATGGACGCGGCAAACCGCGCGGCGAAATTCGTGGTGATAAAAAGGGCTTTGGCGCCTATCATTGTGGCACAGGTTTCAAGTAGATTGGATAAGTAGGGTCAGCTGATGCTACTTGTCTATTCATCTCGAAAATTGGGCCCCAATGATAGGCGCCAGAGTCGTTTGAATCGCTACGAATTTCGCCGCGCGGTTTTTCGCGTCCATCCAATTCTGAGTGAATGTTCCGTCCCCCCTCCTATCAGCTTACTCACTGCCACTGCTTCTGATCTTACTCACTTTAACTGATCGCGAACCTCATTTGAATTCGGTACATTTGCTAGGATTGCCGGAGACAAGCGTCGCTGCCCATTTTCCAGGCAATTTCCGCTATTACAATGCTCTGTATCATCCTATTTTGAGTTTGAACCTTCTCCATAGGCTTTTTTTTGCACTGTCGGTCATCGTGGAGCGGGTCCTCAAAAAATTGTTTCGAGTGTTTAGACCCTGTCTAGATGCTTTCGTTCTTAAAGTAGTTGCTATTTCTATCTAGCAGTTTTTATCAGGACTTCGCGAGCCTAGAAAGGAGAAAAATAAGAAGGATGAGAGCGTATTCAGTGACGCCGATTTCGCAGTTGTCGGCAAGAGGAAGAAGAAGTTGGAAAAAACTCCCATTGAATATTTGTAAACATCGAAATCATTGCTTTGTTGTCTGTTGATTCCTGTAATATAAGTTGTTTGTTCATAAGAATACACCATTTTTCAAATTTGTGATTGGATGTAAGAACTCATTTGAAAGGCTGTACTTTGTATAAGCTTATACAATTGAACGTGAACGAGTGGAGACGTGTGTTGGTTTTTTTCATTTTTGTGTCGGGGCGGAAAAATAGTTTTTCCTATCAGAAGATAGGATGACGTGCTGGTCACAAAAGCTCTATTCATGTCTCAATTTTGCTTCGATTTATCCAACTGTAAAATAATCATGCTTTGCCGATGTCTTTCTGCAACTTTAATTACGTAGTTTGCAGCTGCCCTGATCAAATAGAAGCCCACTGTTCCAAAAGCGATTTGGTAGGCACCAGTAGCAGAACACAGTCCCCCGATTTAGATCCATTGCAGTATTGTATTCCGAAGATTGGTTGGAACAAAGATTTATTAACATATATCATGGCAGTGGTTTGACTTGAGAATTAAGATGGCAGCAATCGTTTCATAATCGCGTTGTATTCGTCCAGAGTCTGGATCCGATAAAGTGTAAGGTGGACTCTGAAACGAAAGTACATTTGAACTTGATTTTGTCGCAGAAAGTGAATGCAAGGGCTCTCTTCTTTCGAGTAAGCTGAGAAATCTTAAGTAACCTTGGTGTCCAGGCCGAAATACCAAGAATACAAGTGCGTCCCACGTAAGAAAGGGCGTTGAACGTTACAGTATTCCTCGCCGTTTGTGCTTCCATAGGCCTGAGATTAGATCGTTTTGAAGAATACGTGCCCCAGCATAAATTACTCACTGAGTGGTACCAAAAAAAGTGGAAGGGAAGTCTAAACCATGATTTTTGCTTACTTCGCTGATACAATCCGGGCTTGCATTGTCGGAGCAGAAATGCACGTGCAAAACTGTGTCCCGGCCAGTGACATTGTACCTAAAAGTTCAGGGTAATCCCTCTTGGATACTTCGGGGATGTCTGACCATTCTATCTGGGACTTATTCGAGATTGTGACTCTTTAAAGGAACATTAGAAGCTTCTTGTCTTCGGAGGACACCGAAAGCGGCTATATTGCCGGTAAGAATTTGCAGTTGTATTGAATTTCGACCTTCTCCTGCGAAACAGCCTGTTAGAGGTTCTCTGTGGTCGTGTCTATCATGAGACGGAAACCACGCCCATTAAAAACCTTGAGCAACACGACGGAAGAGATCTTCCAGATAGATATTTACAAAAAGACGGACAGTAACCTGTAACCGACGCAAAGTCCATAATCAGCCCATTCAGGATCGCTTTTGTAATAGGTTCGATTGACGCCGTCAAGCACAATATGTCTCAGCATAGATGTCATTTCATCAGGTTTCTTTCCGGAATCTAAATACGCTAGATCGTTTTAGTTACATTACATGGTGGGAGAAA